AGTTAGCGAGCTACTACACATAACTAGCAATGTTCAATTTGTTTTCTCTCAACTTGAAAGAACGGCTAGTTGCAGCTACACTACACTGTAAAAAATGTTCAGTGTTAAAAGTCAATGTTAAAATTTCAAAAGTTAAAATTTTGAAATTCAAATAGTAAGTTTCCAGAACAATAATCTGTTTGATGCCCTATAAACTTATTATTTGAAGTTCAAAATTTTAAACTAACTTTTTAAATTACAACTTTTTTTTTATAGTGTGCCAGTGATGTTGGTTTCTTCTGTCAGTCATAAAACACGTCAGTTCACTGTTACTCTCCTGCAGAGTGCACAGAGAATGGCTGATGTAGGCTGTATGGCGACCAACCAGAGCAAAAAGCCTCAGAAATGTGTCTAAATAGTTTTGCCCTTGTGTGCTGTTGATGTGTTTGTTACTCAGTGGTCTGGAGGACACACTGCATTATTGTTTTTTTTTAAGCAATACAGTCGTAACAATTTAGATAAAAATACCAGATGTTTAAAATATCACAAGTGTCCAGCGAAGGGTTCTCCTTTAGCAGCTGTAGCCAGTCAGCAGCCTGTCCATGCTGTCCACCTTCACACACACACATATACAAACACACACACACACACAGACACACACACACTAACAGCAGGCCATGTAGGAGGAGAACAGAGTGAAGGACACAGCACCTCCACACTTTTATTCCCCGCTGGTTCACCCAACACCACATGTGTAATATAAATGTGTGGGGGGTGAACAGAGTGAAGACACTGAAAATGGGCTATTTTATATGTTTTTCACAGAAAATGAGCAAAGGACAAGAATCTGGGGCTGAAATAATAATAAATGCATTATTTTGTCTTTTGGTAAACATTGAAAATGGGTCCCACAGACCCCAACACCACATGGCAGTTTGTTTACAAAAGAAATGTGAAAAAAAGACATTTGTTTGTGTGATATAGTTTTACAGGGGAAAAATACTTCCCTCAAAATATATACTGTAAAGCAGTGGTCACTGACACTCGTCCTGGAGCTCTACCTTTCTGTACAGTCCAGTTCCATCTACAATCTGACCTCCTCTAATTAACCTCTTCATAAGTCCTTGGCTGCCTCTAAAACAGTATATTATAAGCTCACCAGCAAGGTGAGTAATTTTTTGTCCGGGGAGCTTATATGTGTTATTGTAAATATTGTAGAGGTGTTGGTGAAGTAGGTTAAGGGTGAGTCGGCCTGTGGGTGGTTTGAGGGACACTTTCAGTGTTCGGTTTCACTTGAAGAGAATTTTGTAGTGTAGGTGGTTTGTAGTGGTGAGAGTGAGTAATTATTAGGTAGTAAGAGATAAATCTTAGTTATCTCTTAGAGAACGCACTCTGTATTTGCTCAAACCTTTTTTTCAGATGTGAAAAGCTGAATAAAGGTGAGCTGGTTAACGTCCTGTGTTTGTGTGAGGTTTGTGGGTGGTGGTTGCTGAAGCCTCTGATCTGAACGTTACTGGGTTAACAAGGTGGTGGGTGCCTTACACTACCTAGTTAAACTCCAGGTTTACTACAGTATATATATATATATATATATAAAAACATAGAACTACAAAACATAGAACACAAGACAAAAACTGGATTATTTCTTCAGTTTATCAGTTTTAGATCTGAAACATTGGGGTGCAGGTGTATGTCAGATGTCAGATAATGTGGATTGACCAAGCTTGTATTTTGTAAACATTAATATTTAGTTTATGAAGTTTGTTGGAAATTATGGTCATTTTGCTGCCTAACTAATGTCCAGTCTGCACTGCTTACTGCTGGGGGGGTTGGGTGTCTTGCCCAGTGGTGCAGCCAGGAGTGAGTAGTAGTGAGACTTGAGCCCACAACCTTCTGCCTGCTGGGTCGCCTTTGCTACTACTCTAATAGTGCTGATGTACAAAGTCAAACACAGACTGTTACAAGAATTTTCTTCTAAGTGCCTTGATTGAATATTATGGTCACTAAAGAATTAAAGAAAGCAGAATTAAGGTACAGAAAACTCTTCCAAATGAAGGATGGACTACATGATATCAAATGCAGTTTCACTTATTTATTGTTTAAAGTGTTGCAAGAATAAAAACAATACATGCATATGTGAAATTTTCACATTTCTGAGGGTCTGAGGGCCTGATCACCTACCAAGTTTCCATAAACATTTGGGAAATTTTAATCAAATTTAATCTGAAATGATTTACCCATATGTGAACACATAACAATAAACACAAGAAGAATATGAACTAAAAATAGAGAAAGCAAAGGACAGAGCAGAAAAACGTCCACCAAAGACATATAACGTATTAAAACACCCAGAGGCCAGTGTGTAAAGTATAAGGACAGACTATACAATATGATTTTCATTACTGCATCATAGTCATTTGATTATAAGAATAATAACGGCACTTTGGACTGCCTGGATTTAGAGCACGGCCCATTCAACATCATACTGCAAATGAAAAGCACAAAAAAACCTGAATCATCATGACAAACAGCATCTCAGACCGTTCAGGTGGACTAGAGGAAGCATCTCAATCAACCAGAAACAGCTACAGTGATGCTTTCTGACCGTCTCGGTCTGAGAGGACACTCAGTGACACTCTAACACAGGACATTTAGGAGTCCTATATAGAACCATTTCATGTTTTAAAGGTTCGTTTCATGGTGAAATCGTTCTTCAGATTGATTGAGAATGTGTTGTGCATGGTTCTACATAAAACCTTTTGAGAATGGTTCTATGTAACACCAAAAAGGTTCTGTTTAGACCCTTAACGTATACAACACGTTCTCCATTTCACCATGCAAGGAGCCATTCAAGCGTGCCAGTGGTTCTATACAGAACTCATAGTTCTATATTTTTGGTTCTGTATAGCTCCAAAAAGCTATTGTTATGAATGTACTGTAACAGTAGCAAAGCTCTTTTTGGTGCCATGTAGAACTGTTTTCAAAAAGGTTCTATATAGAACCATATGCAACACATTCTCCATCAATCTGAAGAGCCATTTCGTCATGCAGAGCATGCACTGTAAAGAACTCAAAGTTTTACATTTTTGGTTCTAAATTTTTAGTTCTAATTTAAATGTGCAAATGGTTCATTTTGGTTCCAACTTTTTGGTTCTATGTAGCACCAACAAGGGTTCTGCTGTTGTTACAAGGAAATCCTGACAACATCACTTTTGAGTTCACTAGGGTTCTGCTAGTGTTTTCTTGTCCCAAGAACCCTTTTCGGTGCTATATAGAAGCATCTTCAAAAAACTTAGATCCATGTACAACACATTCTCCATCACTCTGGAGAACCCTTTCACCATGCAGAGAACCATTAAAGCTTGGAATGGTTGTATACAGAACTTGTGGTTCTAAATAGAGTTATTCCCTTTACTAAGGAACCCTTGAAGAACCATATTTTTGTGTGTATAGTGGGTACATGTAAACAGTCTAACTGCACAGCTAATGCTATAAACACATACCATGGCCTTGGTTTTAGCCTTAAATCCAGTGCAGGTTTGTTGTCATGGCTGTAATGTGTTGTCTTCTTCAGCAGGCGTCTAAAGCTGCTCAGGGTGGCTCGCTGCTTCAGACCAGACACCTACAATTCGACTGGTCCTCCAGTTACAGAATGACAGCTACAGAATGACACAGTAAACTGTAAACTGAATGACACAGTAAACTGGGCTAAACATCTAAACCATGAAGTTAATCGTGGACATAGTGTGGATGGTGTGGGGAATCGGGGCCTACGTCTACGACTACTTCCACACCAGTGCCATGGAGGAGCGCATACACACTCTGGAGAGCGTCCTCACCGTCCACCAGTTTGTCATCATGTTCCTCTCAGCAAGCCTCATTGTGCTGATCTCATACATCGTCTTCAAGAAACACTGACCACCGCCGGACCCCATTTAGTTGACTTTACTCATAGATGTGGTCCTTATTCTCAGCTGGGTGTCGTTCTCCATGTTGGCGTCTTTGACTGCACAAGTGAGTTTTGCACTGTACTGCTGTCCAGTCAGTGTTAAGTAGCTGAGGACAATCAGTGTGGACAATCGTTTGGTGTCATTGTTCAAACCTCGAGAACAGAAATGGTGGTGGCTTCTTAAACTCTTCAGCATTAATACTGTTTAACAAAGAATAACAATTAAAACAAAGGAAAATAAACATAAAACTATAAAATAAACGGTTCCCAACACTACTGATGGGTTGCCAATTAACCACCAGGTGATTTTTCTTTACCAGTCTGTTGTTGCCCCTTCACAGTTTTGTTTTAAACATGTTGCTGGCATCAAATTTGAAATAGGCATATATTTTTCAAAAATCAATAATGTTTCTTAATTTCAACATTCAATATGTCGTCTTTGTACTATTCTGAGTCAGTAGTTTAGTGCTAAAACTCTTCATAGTAATGAACTGTTCATCATAAAAAAAACGGGGGCAGTCGTGGGCTGGAGGTTAGGGAACCAGCCTTGTGACCGGAAGGTCGCCGGTTTGATCCCCTCAGCTGATAGTACGTGGCTGAAGTGCCCTTGAGCAAGGCACCTAACCCCCAGCTGCTCCCCGGGCGCTGTGGATAGGGCTGCCCACCGCTCTGGGCAAGTGTGCTCACTGCCCCCTAGTGTGTGTGTGTGTTCACTAGTGTGTATGTGGTGTTTCACTGCACGGATGGGTTAAATGCGGAGGTCTAATTCCGATGTGTTCAGATACAGTTGGCTAAAAGGTTCATTTCATTCATTCATTCAGAAGTACATCACTGAACTGTACAGACTTAGATCACTGTTCACATCACAGCTTTAAACTGGTGGAAAAAGTATTGTTTACAGTGTACATAACTACATTTAAACAGTAAAGCACACAAGTATGGACATAAATTATAATTAATACATCTCAGAAACTCAGCTAAAAAACAAGAGATCAAAGGTTAAGCTGCATGTCAGTAGGCATAGCTGAAGGCCTGACAGACAAATATTAATAGAAAGGAAAGTGAAACTGACATTGTTCTATGAAACAAGACTGGGAGGACAGTCACTCTTCAGTGTGATAAAGGAAAATCCAGAGGAGTGTACCCAAACTGACTGGACAAAATGGCAAAACAGTAAGTGCACAGGCTTTTTCTTCAAAGTAGATTTTAAATAATCCATACATCAATAGTTTAATCATAATTGGAATATTACATAATTACATATATGAGTATTCCTTTAGAAGTTTATATATTCCATGCCATGAAAATGCATAGAAAGTAAAAGCCCTGTTTTATGTGGTAATACACTGTTCTTCATGACCAATATGGACATGGTCACTGTTTTGCTAAATGTATTGTGGGCATTAGTTTGTTATAATAACAAACAAACAAACAAACAAACAAACAAACAAGTTGAACCTTACTATTGCAGCTCAATGTAACTAATGGTGTTCTGTTCAGTTTTGTAAAGCTCTTCAGTTGTTTCAATCCCAGAGAAAATCGAGTGGTTACCAGAGCCAGGTGAGTAGCTCAAGAAGGCCTGCTTTCTCAAACTACAATGTGTGTAACTCCAACATGGCTGCCAGAACCATGGGGGTGAGGGGGCATTTGACCCAATGCTTTTCAAAAGACCCCTTTTGACAGGCTCCCTACACCCTGTATGAGTTATGAAACCATGGCTATAAACATGCATATAGTGCACTATACCTTCACTTGGGGTCTGTGCACATATGGTTGACTCCCAAATGGCTCTTTGTTAGACATAACTCAGTGTACTATGTAGGGAGTAGGGAGCTTGTTGGTTTGTATGGGGTATTTCTGCGTTTTGTTGAGGTTGCCAGTCTTATGATTCGTTGCACAGCAGTGTTAGCCTGCACATAGCAGCGTTTGTATTTCTACTCTCTAATGGCTCCAACATTCAGCTTGCTTATAAAGAAAACCAGCTCAGAGTTCCTAATCCTTACATGACACTAACCACAGACTGATGTGTGACTTCAGAGGTCTATGGCTGTGAACAAGCTCAGTCAAAATCTCGATCTCAGCTGGGGTTATCCATCAGAGTGTGCTTTCTGAGCCGAACCCAGTGAAAACAAAACACAAACACTCTTTAACAGTGTACAGGATTATTGGGACAGCATGATGTAGGCTGTATGTAGTGCTGAAAGTCAGTTTCAGTTAATCATTCACTAAGCTGCAGTAAATCATGTTTTGTCCACCACTGTAGAAATGATGGAATCACATGATGCTCATAAACCTGTAAAAGTGAAAATGCCTGTTGCCCCTTACATTGTCTGTGAATTTCATGATGAAGGGACCAAAAGAAACAGCCCAAAACAACTTGGAAAAAAGTCTGGTTTTATTCCGACAGCAGTGATATATATAAACACACACAAGCAACAACAAATTATATCATTATAATATTTTTTTTAGTATAATACTAATCAATGTAATTCCAAATATGTGCTTTTTATGACATACTTATGGCATTTTCCCTTTTTGGCAGCTTTCAGCTAATATTCAGGCATCAGTACTTACTGAAAATAAAGAGTCTGGACTTTTATCCTGTTACACCCCCCACAATAGATGTTTATCTGCTGTTCATGCTTTTAACCACCAGGTGTCATTAATGTGCTCTCACTTTAAAAGATAAAAGTGTCATGAACCCTTTTCCAATACAATTTAAAGGAAAGATTTGCTGCTTTATTTGTCATTGCTAACCAAAACAAAGAGGCGATCCAAAGACAAGATAATCTAAGAGGACCAGAATTAGAACAACTGCCAGGAAATGCCTGACGCAACTTTACAGAGAGGACAGGTTTTATATAGACAGACTAATGAGCCATGAGATTCAGGTGTGCCAGTCAGCTGGTCAGCACTGAGGTGAGAGCGACCTCTGTGGGCGAGGAGGGGAATCCTCAGCCAAGGATGGGACAACCCAGTTTTAATCAACTGCAGCTCATAAAGAAGAATGAGTCTAGTGTTATATTAGAAGCTGGCATTAATGTCTAATTACTATGCAGTTATAAAGGAAAATTGAACTTAATCTTAAGTAAAGAAAAAGAGTTACATTCACTATATAGCATTGTTTACAAAACTACATGACACCTACATAAGTCAATCATGACAACGGACATAAAGCTACATAAACATTTACAACGGTTTATTCCAGCAGGCGTCGTCTGTTTTGATTGATGTTTTGAGAAAATACTTAACACTTGACACTTAAGGGTGAAACGATATAGCATGTTATAACAACGGACTTTGTAGCATAGTGGACAGTTGTATGCAAATGTTTGAATGGCCTGGTCAAATGAAATGTTTTTTTGATTTTCTAAGTGATAAATAAGTTCACACATCCTCCACGGAGAACACAATTAAATGTGGAACAGTTCTGCAATTTTTAGAGCACAATTTTTATTTAGTTTAATGTGTTGGTAAAAAAATATATATAAAATATATAATGTAATATATGTGCCATAACTTTTTTTGCACAGTCAACATTTTATGTTTTTTTAAAGCTAAATACAGCAAAATGAGTGTTTTCTTTAGATGATATGTTAACTTTATTTCATTAAATCAACAAAACATGGAATTTGACCATGGGCACCCAAACATTTGGATACGGCTGTGTGTAAATGAGCTCTGTTCTGAGCAGCTGGGTCTGAAACACTCCTTATAACAGGGGGCGGCAACATGCGGCACCTTTAGTGCCCTCTTGCGGCTCCACAGCAGAATTAGATTTGTAGGTGAAAGTAAAATAATCCTCCTTTACAGTAAAATAAAGCTCTGCTGATCGTTCAACACAGTTTAACAATAAATGGTCTTAAACTCTGGAGTTAATGTAGAACTGCTAATTCACCCTTTAACCCTGAAGATCAGCGCAGACTGCTGGTCACTATAGGGACTCAACAGTCTTGCCTAGGTAATAGTTAATGGAAAGGCAAAGAGAATGATTTAAGACGAGATTTCAGAGATGAGTGGACTTATTTGTGTTTATAATCACTCCAGTTGGTTTCCTGATCCGTTTGATCTGCAACGAGAAACTGACAAACACTAAAAAGTAACGAGGCTGAAGTTGCTTCTCGGTCGCCTCCTTCTTGTTCGAATTGTCCCGTTCCACCTTAAATGGTGCAGCAGTTACATTCTGAGTGGGCTTCAAAATGGGCTGTTTTTGCTATTTAGTTTTCATATATGGATCGATAGATCGGAGGGTTAATGCAACAGTTTAAAACTTTAAAAGTACACCAAATCTTTTACTTTTAAAAAGGCTTTGTGTGAAATGGGCCATTTAAGTATCCATCACTCAATAGAAATATATTGTAATATTTCAAGGTGGTCAGTTTATATGGCTGCTTTAGGAATGCCCCTCATTTACCCCCTTTGTTTGCACAGAGAGGAGCAACTGCGAAAGTACATCTTAGAGACCCTCAGCTACATCAAAACAGCCAAGAACTTCTGTGACACAGAACAACAATGGACCACTCAGAGGAAGACAGAGCTAAAGAAGATGAGAGACATCAAAAGCCGTGCAGACAAAGTCTCAGGCACTTCCAGAAAGCAGGAGCTGGAGAAGGAGCTGGGGGCAGTTCTAAGAGACACTCTGGAGGGGCTGCAGAACCTTCAGCCCTTCCTGGACGCAGTGGAGAGGCTAGCAGTCACCTCACTGTTCGTGTTCACAGATGAGATCTTCCTGCCGAGGGGGGTGAGTGCTGAGGCTGTACGATCGGTGATCTCAGCAGCCAGAACCGTATCTCCGCTCCTCATCCACTTCAAGAGAGATGACGGAGCTTTCTTCTTGCCCAAGCTGGGCAACATGGACGTCCTGGCTTTCCAGCTGGACAAATATGTCCGCATCACACAAGAGCTCTGCGACAGAATGTAATTAATACAGTTAAAATATACACAGTTAATATGTTCCACAATACTCTTCTGAGTATTGTGATTATTCTAGTCAGTTTAGATAACTATTCATGTTTTCTTCTCTACAGATCCAAGAGCACATTGGACATTATGGGCATACAGGAGTGAGTGGCATCAATAAAAGTGTAACTCACGTTGATTTGTATTCTCTGTTTTGTTTTAAAAGAATATTCTAATATGTTTGCTTTCTGATTTATCACATGTGGAAAAACAGCAACTATTCACTGACGTTTAGTTTCAAAATCAATGGGGCCACAAACAACATGATTGACCACCTGAGCAAAATCAGGTAAGCGCATTTAATGTCTTTATAAGTTTGACCAATTTTGATATTTCAAAGAGGCCCCCCACCCCCCACCCCCAGGGTCCACTTATAGCCTTGTGTTTTTTTATGTACCAAAAAACAATCATAATTTCATATTCCTGTATTGTGTCTCACTCAAAAAACAGTTCAGGCTGAACCACCCATACACTATGTGGCCAAAAGTATTTGGACGCCCCTCCTAATTTCTGAGTTAAGGTGTTTCAGCCACACCCACTGCTGACAGATGTATAAAATTAAGCACATAGCCTTGCAGTTCCCCTAAACAAACACTGGCAGTAGAATGAGTCGTACTGAAGACCTCAGTGACTTCAAATGCTATTATTGTGAAATAGGTCGTCAAGTGCTGGAGCTTGTAGTTCCAAACTGCCTCTGAAAGCAACATCAACACAATAACTGTGCATTAGGAACTTCAAGAAATGGATTTCTATGGCTGAGCAGCAGCAGACAAGCCTAAGATGCAATGCCAAGTGTTGGCTGGAGTGGTGTAAAATGCGCTGCCATTGGAGCAGTGGAAATCTAAGTTAGTCAGGAGAACGCTGCCTACCGGAATACATAGTGCCAACCCTAAAGTTTGGTGGAGGAGGGATAATGATCAGCGGCTGGCCATGTAGTATATCATACAAAGACATTTTAGACAGTCACATGCTTCCAACTTTGGAAGTTTGGGGAAGACCCTTTCCTGTTCCAGCATGACTGTCCCTGTGAGCTCTGTGAAGACATTGTTTAGAGACTGTTATATCTGCAAAGAGAAAACCAGCTCCATATTAATGCACATGGTTTTGGAATGGGATGTTCAACAAGCTCATGTAGGTGTGATGGTCAGGTGTCCACATAGTTTTGGCCATGTAGTGTAACTTCAGCGTGAGTGGGTGGGGCTAAACGGCTGTAGGCTGAATAGGCAGATGTATTACTAGTTTCCATATGTGGACTGTATGGATTGGGGAGTGAATGGTACATTTTTATTTTTAGTGTGAGGTATAGTGAAGATAAGTCAATTGTCCATAATATGAGGCCTTTAAGGATCTGTGAAGTATTGGCCCTGTTGGAGAATTAGCTTTTTTAAAAGTAACCTCTTTTCTTTCAGAATGGACGAGTCGTTCAGGATGTCATTCTTATTTAAAGGGAAAGCTCAGCACTTCATTGAGACCTACAGAGGATGTCGCTCTAGGATGTTCCAGTTCCTGTCAGATCTAGAGGAGACTGCAGTCCAGCTGGATAAAATGAAGAAGGGCTCCAGCATCTCCACTGTGGCGGGCAGTTCAGTTGGTGCTGTAGGAGGTGTCTTGTCTATTGTAGGCCTGGCTCTCGCCCCCGTTACTGCAGGAGTGTCCCTGGCCCTCACAGCTACGGGGGTTGGGATGGGGGTCACCAGTGGAGTCACTAGCTTAGTCACAGGCATCACTGAAATGGCAGTCAACAAACATCATGGGGAGAATGCCAAAAGCATTTTCCAGAGATTTATGAAGGACGTGCAGAAAGTCCAAGATTGTCTAGAACAGGTATGTACTCAGTGTCCTTTACCAAACCTTGATGAGGGTGATACCGCACTTGGTGCTGGAAAAGTGATAGCCAGTGTTGGAACCGCAGGTAAAGGTACTGATGCCCTCCTTGATGGAGCTTCGGCTATGAAAGCTCTCAGAAGTGAGGAAGTGGTTAGAAGTGCGGTCAGCATGGGCCTTCAGGAAGCTAAAGCAGCTCGGAACATCCCCAACCTTGCTGCAGACCTGCCTGACATCGGGCAGCTGGCTAAGGGCACTCCTCTGGCGATGACAAAAGCAGCCAGGGCCGGGTTTATCACTCTAAACGCCTTATTCGTTGGTCTAGATGTTCTGTTCATCTGCAAAGAAAGTGTGAGTCTGGCCAAAGGGACGAAAAGCAAAATGTCTCAGCTCATCTGCTGTAGATCAGCTCTGTGGCGCTCAGAGATAGAGGCATGGGATGAGATCCATGACTCTCTATGCAAAGGGAGTGAAATATTCCAGGACAACCTTGAGATTCTACAGCAATCTTTTAACATTAGTAGAGAGATTAGATCAAAAATGCAAAAGAAGCTGAAGTGTATTAGAAGGACCACAGAATATTTGTAAATATCATTTTAACTGATCCACTGCCAGCTCTACACTCTTTAAAAAGATGGTTATTTGATAGTTCTTTGGTAAAGACAATGGTTCTATGTAGAACTGTGAACACTTAAAGAACGATTTTCATACTTTCTTTGCATGGTGAAATCATTCTTTAGATTGATCGAGAATGTGCTGCATATGGTTCTATATAGAACCTTTTTAAAGCATTAGAAAGTATAGCATCAAAATGGTTTTTCTATTGTTACAAGCTTGACATTGTACCAACACAAGAGCCCTTTTTGGTACTATACAGTGGGTGTTGGTTCTATATAGAACCACAGTCTTTATAAAAGAACCATCCTTGTAAAGAGTGTACATAATAAACAACAAGTCCAGCAAGTTAGGACCCTGTTTTTTCATGCTGTCCAACTTTTTGTAGCAACTTTTGGGTTGTTTTTATAGCATTATGTTGTCTAAGATGCTGTGCTATGGCCATGTATCTGTACAAGGTGCTACACTACCCAGAGTGACTGACTTCCTGAGATACATATGTGCAGCATATGTAATACAGAATAACATAAAATATAGCATTGGTGATATAAAAGTGAGATGTTATGAGGTCACTTGACAGATTATGCTTGTAAAATACAAACCACATAATTTTTATTTGGAACACTTGTAACATGGCTAGCTAAGTCAGCATGCTTTAGTTTAAGTAGCTATTCAATTTGGGCTACATGCTCCAGTGTCGCTTGATATTCCTCATCTTAGCAATCAGATGAGGAATTAATCGTATAATATCAATATCATAACACATGACAATAAGCATTAAGTGTGCTGTAAATGAGCATAACATGATGGAATATGGTAAGAAATCAAAAGATACAAACTGGTGCAATTTCTCTCTGAGTAGACTACCTTCCCATTAGCTTAGTCAGGCTTTTATGACATAATTTTTAATGCAAGCTTTTTCAGAAATCAGTGAGACAGAGAGGAGTAAAATCTACTTTCTTATAAAAGTTGTATAGTTGTAACTGGAGTCAAATCAACAGTCAAATGTGTTGCTCCAATATGTGTATGAACCCCTCAGCATTAATGATGCCTCCACAGATGCACAACTTACTCATAAATACTCCCCACACAGTGACAGATACTGACTTTTGAACTTTATGCTGGTAACAATCTGGAGGGTCCTTTTCCTGTTTGGCATCCATTATTTCCAAAATTTCAAAGGTGGGCTCATCAGACCATAAGACAGTCCATTTCAGATTAGCTTAAGTCCAGAGAATTCGGTGGTGTTTCTGGATGGTTTTTTAAATATATGGCTTCTGATTTGTGTAGTAGAGTCTTAACTTGTATTTGTAGATGCAGTGATGAACTGTGTTTACTGACAATGGTTTTCCAAAGTATTCTCGAGCCAATGTGTTTATGTTCTTTACAGAAGTATGTCATTTTTTAATGTAGTGCCATTCTTTGCAATTGCATGCAGCTTTTTTGCAAATCTTGAAACTTCAGTGCTTGAAAACAAATCAGCCTTTCATGAATGCTCCTCTTATACCCAATCATGGAAGCATCTACTGATACAAGTGTTTTTGATCATTCCACAAACTTCCCAGTCTTACATTGCCCCTGTTCCAGACTTTTTTGCAATGTGCTGCAGGCATCAAATTTGGAATTTATTTACAAATAAGAATATTAGGTAAAATATAAAATATTTCTTTCTATTTTCTAAAATCTAAAATATTTCTTTTCTTTTATTTTATTGATTAAATACTTGTAAAAGAACTTTACAAATCATTTCACTATGTGAAACTGCTTAATTTCATATGTTATTGCACAATTTTGAGTCTTTACTGTCATTATAAACTGTGAACAACATTAAAAATCTAGAAAACCTTCTCTGTGTGGGCTTCTAAATGTTTGACTCTAATGCCCTCTTATGAGGGAGAGGAGAACATCATGCTTCACTTCCACATAAGCAAAGCTATGAGGCCAAAAGCACACTCAGTAACTGGGTTCCAGAAAACGTTCAAAGTGTTTTTCCAGATTTAAGAGCACTGCCACTTCTCAGGCTTTTGGGCTGCCCATATTTCACACAGGTTACGCTGGCTGTGGGAATGCATTTGACTTCAGACACAATGTTCGGTTCCAAGCTTGTAGCACACATCCTTACACTGCAACAAAACATTTCAATTAAAATTGTTTCTAACAAACTGTGTTTGATATGTTTGAGATGAAGTTTCAATGAAATGTAAATTAAAGCCTAATTGTGTGCTGCGTATCCTTGACCAGGACACAAAACAAGAACACACGTTCCAAACTCGACTCCTACATGTCCACTTGCACTTTTTTATTTACACTCTTAGAAAAAAGACACTTAACTATCATTGGGGCAGTTCCCCTCTTGTCACTGGGGTGGTACCCTCAAGGGTAAGTCTCCAGTACCTTAAGTTAGGCAACATAATAAGAACTTTTTTAAGGTGCATAATTAGACCTTAAAACTGTTGTTGTAACTGTAGTGTTGAGTGGTGAGCCCCTCCTCCTCCCACCCTGTTCTTCAGTGGTCAGGACCCCCATGGACCCTTATAGAGCAGGTACTATTTGGGTGGTGGATCATTCTCAGCACTGCAGTAACGCTGACGTGGTGGTGGTGTGTTAGTGTGTGTTGTGCTGGTCTGAGTGGATCAGACACAGCATTGCAGGAGTTTTTAAACACCTCAGTGTCACTGCTGGACTGAGAATAGTCCACCAACCATAAATATCCAGCCAACAGCGTCCTGTGACCACTGATGAAGGACTAGAAGATGACCAACACAAACTATGCTGACACACATGAGCTGCTGTCTCTGACTTTTCATATACAAAGTGGATCAACAAGGTAATAGAGTGGACAGTGAGTGGACACAGTGTTTAAAAACTCCAGCAGCACTGCTGTGTCTGATCCACTTGTACCAGCACAACACACACTAAGACACTCAGTGTTACTGCAGTGCTGAGAATGATCCACCACCCAAATAGTACCTGCTCCATGATGGTCCATGGGGGTCCTGACCACTGAAGAACTGGGTGGGATGAGGAGGGGCTCACCACTCTGTGAAAGACTGCGAGGGCATATATTGCATCAGTTCAAGAATAACGTTTCACAAAATAAAAACCTGTTAATTAACAGTAAAAGCATGTTTTCTCAATCATGGTAAAAATCTGTAAAATTACAGTCATTAAATTTTTAGTAAAACTGCTTTTTTACTGTAATTCAGTCCAGTTTTATTAGTTCAACTAGTTGTTCTGAAATGCAGTGTTTTATCATAATAACTGTAATGATCATTAAAATGAACACAATGTCTGTGAAATAAAGGGGGTAAAATACAGTATATGTATGGTTTATTTACATACACTTAACCAACTAAAATAACTTTGATAGTGGAAATACTTTATTTTTTACAGTGTACAGCTCAGCCTGGACTTTAACTTAGTACTAAATCATCACAAGTGACATTTTCAAAGTTTTTCAAAATTGCTAAATAATTCAAAATTCAGAACCACAAGGGAACCTTTTTAAACGTAATGTTGATGATGGTAAAATCTGAAGAAAAACATCTTTGAGGACTATTTTGTCTCACAACATCCAATTTTTTCTGGAAAGTGTGGCAAGTTCAACAACAGCACACTACACTAAGCAGATAAGAGCTGCTGTCACTGCCTATTCTTAAAAATCGTATGAAGTCTATGAACCCGACTACTCCATCTTGGGACTCATAGAAGGAAATGAACTCTAAATTTTAACCCCTAAACTCTGGGTTTGGAACAGGTGCATGTTGTGACATGTAAGCACATATTTTGTTTTGTTTGTTTTTTTGTTTTTTTTGTGTGTGTGTGTGTGTGTGTGTGTGTGTGTGTGTGTGTGTTTGTGTGTCTCTCTCTCTTGGTCTCTTCCTTCACAGAGGTACCTGCAAACAGTCATGTGAGGAGAACCAATCAGAGGCCTGGCTGGTGCAGTTGGGGGTGGATCCTATGTTTTAAAAGAGGCCTTCAAGATGGCTGCAGAGAGCGAGGACTGATCATGTGTGCTGTGATTTAGTTAGTGTTTTTAATCTCTTGTGTTGGGAGTGCTTTGTTTTAGGTGTTTTACCAGTGCTTCTTTTAACCTAGTTTGCAGACTTGTCTTTTGTGTTAGGGGAAGTTGGTGTTTTACCTGCAACCTTGCAACTTTGTTTTACAAGAGATTGTTTGTATGGAAAGAGGGAGCAGAGACATGCATATACAGCCCTGTTAAGATTTCTAAAATATATAAAATTAGATATGAAGGATTTAAGAGGTCACTGACCCCCTTTATTAAAAACAACTCTTATAAGAAGAAAGTGAATGAAAAAATCAGTACATAATAAAAAAAAAGTACATAATAAAAAACACGCATAAAATCTAAATAAAACAAAGGAATACAGAAAAATGAAAAAAGGGATAAAAATTGTCAGCAAGGGTTTAAATTCTAATACCAACAGCTTCCAAAGGGCAAAAATAGATATAGAGAACTTCAAAATGTTTACAGCTTTACAGCTCAATTACATCCCTTGTCAGATACATCTACACTAAGAAAACAAACAGAGCAAAATCCCCCAAAACAGCAAAGACCTGCCAAGCAAGGCAAGATCTCTCATTAGGGAAAGCAACAAGGCAGCTAGTGCTTCAGTTACAACTCAAAGCTTCATATCCAAATAATCAATGTTCACCTTAAATCTTTCTCTTTGCCTTTTCTTTAGCTACTAGCTAGGTGTCTGCATTGCTATGGGCCAGAAGTCTATGCACCAACCTTCAGGGTTAAAGGGTGAATTAACTCCAGCGTTTAAGACCATTTATTGTTAAACTGTGTTGAACGATCAGCAGAGCTTCATTTTACTGTAAAGGAGGATTATTTTATTTTTACCTACAAATCTAATTCTGCTGTGGAGCCGCAAGAGGGCAGTAAAAGAGTCGCATCTTGCCGACCCCTAGCCTAGTGTTAGCCTAGTAGCTCCAACTCTAGATTAAAGAAGCAAAATTTGAACAGCAAACATGCATTTTTGCATTTGGGGGTAAGTGGAAAATCATGTACATTTGATTTTTTGCCAATATATTCCTTCAAGATTCTACTGAACCAATTGTTCCTGCATTTAAATCACCCTTTACTCTGGTAACACTTTACTGGCTATGCTGGAAAAGTGAAACAATTACTCTACTCTGTCTCTACTATGACCATTCTCTCCCGGAACACCTGTTTTCCCTTAAACAGACAATCATGAATCCTTTTCCATGCCTCGATCTCTGAGCGCCACAGATCTGTGTTGGAGCGGATGAGCTGAGCTGCTTTGCTTTTCTTCCTTGTGATTATACTCCAACTTTCTTTGCAGAGGAAAAAAACATCTGTAAGAAGAGATACAGCATTTCCTCCGATAAACATCCATGTGTTTAGTTTGAAAAAGTCCACCTGTTTCAGAACGGCAGCTCCATCAATGAAGGCATCAAAATATTTGGATATCGCCCTGAAATAACTCATCACTTTCATAACTCCAAGTTGCATATTACCCTCATCCAGCTGTGGTGCAGCGTGATGATGACTAGCTGCCAGCTTCAGACAATCTACAGTGTTCTGCCTGTGCTTCGTGAAGTCATTGATGTTGTTGTTGGCTTTTTTCACATAATATTTATTGATTGTGAAATCTATGGCACCGGTGGCCAAGTAAAAAGCTCCACTCATGAGCCCCAGCAAACCCCCCATCCGTGTGATGGTCAGGGGCATAACTGCAAGGGAAATAGCCAGGCCTGTGAAGGATGAGATGATGGACAAGATACCCCCTAAAATGCCCAAAAAACTACCTATTATAGTCAAGACACTGTACTCGTCCTTCATCCTATCCAGCCCAACTGCATTGTTCTCTAGACTTGACAGAAGCTGGGACATTTCAGAGTCATTGTACATCTTGGCGAACTCCTGACCATCAACTAAGAATGCCAGCCGGGATGACTCGTCCATTCTGAAAGAAAGCAATTAAAGTTATAGACCACAACTGATTAGGATAGAATGTAAAATCAAAACTATCCAACAGGACCAATCCTTGTTGATGAGGTGCTCTTACCTGATTCTGCTCAGCTGGCTCAAATCAGGCACATTTTCCATGGACAGGCTTGTACTCAAACTGAGCTGTGAGGGGTCTCTGTGTTTACACATGTAAAAAAATCAGAAAGCTCAGCTCACACTTTGAAATATTCTACTGGAGGAAAAAAGAATCTTTGTATTGATTTGTGTTGATGATACTTACTCCTGAACGCCTGTAACCTGTGATTTGTCCCTGGATCTGTACGAGAGAAAACAGAAAAGAACAGAAAAATGCATTTCCTGAAGAAAATGCAGAGTCACTGTGCAGCTCAAGCAATTCCCCAAGATAACTAGAGAGTTTATTGGTGGTTGCTATGGTATGGTTAGGGAACCAGCCTTGCGACCGGAAGGTCGCCGGTTCCATCCCCTGAGCTGACAGTATGTGACTGAGGTGCTCTTGAGCAAGGCGCCTAACCCCCAACTGCTCCCCGGGTGCTGTGGATAGGGCTGCCCACCACTCCAGTGTGTGTGTCTTTATTAGTGTGTATGTGGTGCTTCACTGCATGGATGGGTTAGATTGCAGAGGTGAAATTTCCCCATTGTGGGACTAATAAGGGTCACTTAATAATAATAATAATAATAATAATAATAATAATAATATAGTATCTTAGGTGGTTGCTAGGGTGTTGTTAAGTGATTGCTAGTATGTTGCTAGGTGATTGCTATGGTGTCCCAGGTGTTTGCTTTGACATCGCTAAGTGGCTGCTATGCGGTTGCTAGGGTTCTCCTAGATGGTTGCTGTAGTATTTTAGGTGGTTGCTAGGGTGTTGTTAAGTGATTGCTAGAATTTTGCTAGGTGGTTGCTATGGTTTGCCTGGTGTTTACAGTATTGCTAAGTGGTTACTAGGGTGCTCCTAGATGGTTGCTATAGTATCTTAGGTGCTTGATAAGGTGTTATTAAGTGATTGCGAGAATGTTGCTAGGTGGTTGCGATGGTGTGCCAGGTGTTTGTAGAATTGCTAGGTTATTGCTATGGTATCCCAGGTGGCTACTAGGGCAGATATTCCTGGAGGTGGTTGGTGGGTTGTTGCTTGGTGGTTGCTATGGTGTTTCAGGTTGTTGCTAGGGTGTTGCTAGAAGGTTGTTACAGTATCCCAGGAGGTTGCTAGGGTGTTGCTAGTGTACTTCTATCATGGTCACTTAAGGGGAGTGTACAAACTATTGGCTGTAATGGTACATCTGATCAAAAAGCGGCATAGAAGTCCAACATTCCCGACCAGACTGAACCTTCCAGAGTTAGTTTGGTGTTGATATACCGAATTAGTCTGGCATAACAATAAGAAGAAGAAGACTAAGAGTAAATAACTGATAACAATAATCTGTCATTACTTATCTAAATTTTAAACATTATCTCTTATTTTACTACTTTATTCTTACTTTGCAGATTATAATAACTGTGTGATTTAACTTAATAAATCACTCACTTCATTTCCTTGCACAGCCATTTTGTGATGCAGATGTATTTGTTCAACTGATGGACCAGAAGTTCCACGTTTTCAAGTTTAGGCGAGAAGAAAGCTCCATCATCTCTCTTGAAGTGGATGAGGAGTGGGGATGCAATTTTGGCTGAGACCACCGATCGTACAAACTTGGCGTTCTTCCCCCTTAGTGGGAAGCTCTTGTCCATGAATACAAATGGTGAGGTGACTGCTAGCCTTTCCACTGCGTCCAGGAAGGGTTGAAGTTCCTTCAGCCCCATCCGAGTGTTCGTCAGAGCTTCCCTCAGCTCTTTCTTCAGTTTCTTCATTTTGAAACCAATGAACAGTTCATCTGCGCTACTTTTGATGTCTCTCATCTTCTTTATCTCCGACTCCATCTGACTCGTCCAATCTTGTTCTCTTTTACAAAAGTCCTCCACTGTTTCGATGTAGGTGAAGGTTTCAGAGATGTACTCTTCTGCTTGTGCCTGAGGTTGCTGTCTACATCAAAAAAAGGGGTCAGTGAGAGAGGTGAGAGGTTAGAAAGCCTTGGGATGTTATTATCCCACATCAGTGCCTGCAATAAACTTTAATGTAACTTCTAAAAACTTTTAAAGAATCTATAAGGTCTAACCACGCTGGTCAAGTTATACGTTTTGTTGATTTTTAAGTGAAAATACATCGATCAGGCATAACATTCTGACCACGTCCTTGTTTCTACACTCATTGTCCATTTTATCAGCTCCACTTACTGTATAGGTGCACTTTGTAGTTCTACAGTTACAGACTGTAGTCCATCTGTTTCTCTGATACTTTGTTAGCCCCCTTTTACCCTGTTCTTCAGTGGTCAGGACCCCCATGGACCCTCACAGAGCAGGTACTATTTGGGTGGTGGATCATTCTCAGCACTGCAGTAACACTGACGTGATGGTGGTGTGTTAGTGTGTGTTGCGCTGGTGAGAGTGGATCAGACACAGCAGTGCTGCTGGAGTTTTTAAACACTGTGTCCACTCACTGTCCACTCTATTAGACACTCCTACCTTGTCAGTCCACCTTGTAGATGTAAAGTCAGAGACGATAGCTCATCTGCTGCTGCACAGTTTGTGTTGGTCATCCTCTAGTCCTTCATTAGTGGTCACAGGACGCTGCCCAGAGGACGCTGTTGGTTGGATATTTTTGGTTGGTGGACTATTCTCAGTCCAGCAATGACACTGAGGTGTTTAAAAACTCTGATCCACTCAGACCAGCACAACACACACTAACACACCAGCACCACGTCAGTGTTACTGCGGTGCTGAGAGTGATCCCCCACCCATATAGTACCTGCTCTGTGAGGGTTCATGGGGGTCCTGACCACTGAAGAACAGGGTAAAAGGGGGCTAACAAAGTATCAGAGAAACAGATGGACTACAGTCTGTAACTGTAGAACTACAAAGTGCACCTATATAGTAAGTGGAGCTGATAAAATGGACAGTGAGCGTAGAAACAAGGAATCAATCAGTCATAATGTTATGTAAGTTAATCCTCCACAGAGGAAATATGTGATTTTTAACTTGAATTTCGTTTTTTTATGCAAATATATTTTTATTTCAAATACAATTTATCCCAAAAATCACACATGTTTACTGCTGAGCTAAATCACTTTTCCTTTTATCAGGATGGAAGATGCCAATTGACCCCCCTCCTTTTTTTAGAGTATGGGTGTGCAGTTGTACTTGCCCAAGCATGGTTGTATCAGACTGAACAGCTAGCCTAGTCCCCATATCAACTTTTTTGGAACGTGTCGCAGGCATTAATGTCAGAATTAGCATATATTTACAAAAAACAATGAAGTTCATAAAACACTAAATATATTGTCTTTGTACTGCTTTTGTTTACAAATATGTCAAAGTAGATTTATTACCACTGTTGCACTGACGCCTATTTCAACATGACAACACAAAGAAATATTCTGGATTCATGTTACAGCAGCCCAGCTGTGCAATCAGAGAGCTTTGTGTAGCTGTTTCTGTAGTGATGATATCAATAAGATGAGTGAGCCAAATGTTTTCAATGGCCTTTCACTGCATAACATATTACATGCATAGGAAGTTAGGTAAAGGTACAGGAAGTTAGGTAAAAGTACATGAGGCGTAGAACAGTAGAGCAGATGCAGAAGTGCTGGCTGTGGAGTTTTCACAAGCAGAAGTCGTGGGTGTGCTGTGCTTTGCACAAGTGTCAGCCTTGGTGTTTCCTGCTCATTATGAACGCTGTGTATGGACAGGGTCTACATTATAAACAATGAAAAGTCAACCTACATTTTTAAGGCAAACTTACTTCACAACTTTCCTGAGTTAACTCAACTTGAGGGTCCGATGAACTATTGTCCCCTCAAGTAACATTAAAAAGCTTTATTTTCCTCACTGTTTTTAAATAAACCAGTTGTTTGATTTAGCATATAAACATCGCTAAAGGTTCAAAACATGGAGTCCATGCTGCTTACATATGGAAATCAAGATAACAAAAAGCAGCCCCTTTTTTTAAGGTCACAGAAACCAACCCATTTACATCTGCCTAATCAGTCTACAGCCGTTTAGCTCCGCCTACTCACACTGAGGTTATAAGGAGTGTTTCAGATCGACAGAACTGAGCTCATTTACATATATCTTAAACATATATCAACATATATCATATGTGTCAAAGTCACAGCAGGATTCATTCTAAGAGACAAAGACAGATTTGAAAATGGTCACATAAAATGAATTTTGATACATAAATCCATACCAACATTATAAGTGGACACTGGGAAGATGTAATCGCAGTATGTGTATTCATAGTGTTGCCATTCTTTTCTGTGAAACTGATTTACTTTGTACTTTACTTTGATGTACGGGACTTTACTTTGTTAACTGTGGTTTAATTGCGATTGGGTTTATTTATTTATTTTTTTAATTTGTTATTTTAACATGAGCAGGTAACATGGCGATGTAACTAGATCTATGGCAATTCATTTCTCCTGTACTACTAGTCAGCTCTTCTTTCTTTTGCTCATATCCCTCTGTTGTTGCCATGTGGCAACAATTACTTTGAGGTTTACAAAAATGTAATATTATAAAATCCATGTTTTACTGTTTCATTGTTTTACTGCTTATATTGATTATACCACATGACCAGGAAGTCCTGTTTGAAATCCCTTTTTCCATGGGCACTTGACAATGAGAAGGTCATGACCTGAGGGCTCCCAAAGATGACTGATTGTTCAATATTCAGCCAAGATTCCTTCAAGAAAAAAACTGAAAAACTATCTGGGGTAAGTTAATTTGTTAATTTTCATCATCAAAACAAGTTTAGATACAATAGGTTTTTGGTTAAATGCTGAAATGAAGTTGTTGTCATATGGCAACTACATGCAAAAATGGAAGTGTTCTGTGTGCATTCGCCCTATTGGAATATAATTTACTTATTTTTCATTTATACATTGTAACTTCAGACAGTTTCTAACTGTAAGGTGTTTTCTAGATTATAAATAGCACCTCTTGAAAATCTTTACAAAATTTTAAATTTTGTAAAATTAAACAAAAGGAATTGCGTTATCTCACCCACATTATATGTTCAGTTTCTTCATAGATAAGATAATATATTGTATGTATTATGTATAATATACTGCCTTACAGATAGAAAATACATAGTGATACATAGTCCAGATGGTACGGTAACTGGAACTGTAGGCATTTTGAGGCATTTTGTGTTATTTTTGGCTGTATTAGTCAGAATGGTGCCCCGTGTCTCTTTACATGCGTATATAATTATCTAATTATAATGCTATTATTACCATACAGTCCAAATGATATTTTCTTTGGTCTTGCTTTTTAATTAAAATGTTGTTTTAAAATAAAAAATAGAATTTGCAGTACTTTCCACCATTGCACATGGTTGCCATATGGCAACAATTTACAAACTGCCCCCCTTAAAAATGCATTTCTTCAAATCTTTACAGTATTTAAGCAAAAATTTTAAATAATAAAACACATTAAAACATATTCGTCGTGATTAAGTAGTAGTTCATGCAATAGAGGGATATCAGCTCCAAGTGAGAGACTTCCGTGTGCATATTTAATGAGTGTATTTGCTGGGACGAGCCTACAGAAGAGGTCCAAAAAGAGTTTGCACTCACTGGGAAGCCGGGTGTGTAGAAGAGTCATTTTGCAGTGTGCTGGATGATTCCTCAGACTGCTGAGCCTGCTGTTCCAGCATATGAACTTGCCATTTGACTGACCTGAGGAAGCATACAGAACAACAATGGTGAACGAGTTGGATGCTGCAAGAACCGCAGTGATAGAATGTGGAACTCATCAATGATTTGATAAGGAGTAGTGAAAAGAAAAAGAAGTCCTATATACACCGATGAGGCATAACATTCTGACCACCTCCTTGTTTCTGCACTCATTGTCCATTTTATCAGCTCCACTTACTATATAGGTGCACTTTGTAGTTCTACAGTTACAGACTGTAGTCCATCTGTTTCTCTGCATACTTTGTTAGCCCCCCTTTTACCCTGTTCTTCAGTGGTCAGGACCCCCATGGACCCTCACAGAGCAGGTACTATTTGGGTGGTGGATCATTCTCAGCACTGCAGTAACACTGATGTGGTGGTGGTGTGTTAGTGTGTGTTGTGCTGGTCTGAGTGGATCAGACACAGCAGTGCTGCTGGAGTTTTTAAAGTGTCCACTCACTGTCCACTCTATTAGACATTCCTACCTTGTCAGTCCACCTTGTAGATGTAAAGTCAGAGACGATAGCTCATCTGCTGCTGCACAGTTTGTGTTAGTCCTTCATCAGTGGTCACAGGACGCTGCCCACAGGACGCTGTTGGCTGGATATTTTTGGTTGGTGGACTATTCTCAGTCCAGCAGTGACACTGAGGTGTTTAAAAACTCCAGCAGCACTGCTGTGTCTGATCCACTCAGACCAGCGCAACACACCACCACCACATCAGTGTTACTGCAGTGCTGAGAATGATCCACCACCCAAATAGTACCTGCTCTGTGAGGGTCCATGGGAGGTCCTGACCACTGAAGGTGACTACTGGTGGTCATAATGTTATGCCTGGTCAGTGTATGCCTTCAGTTTGCTCTCTCAGTGGGTCTAAAACATCAATACTCAGCTTTTTAAGGCCGAACACCAACTAACCACTCTGTCATGAGATGCAGGGTTTAACAGAGGCAGTGAAATAATGGAGACCAAACAGAAAATGAAAGTTCAGTGATGAAGAGAGAGAGCGCTGTTAATAAAGGACGTTCTTTCCCATCAAAACATTCAAGAGGGGTGTTACTTCACTCCAACCAAGACAACAGCGTTTGTGAAACAGTAACATGGACTGCATGTGCGTACTGCAGCTGCGTCACAGCGTATTTTGCATATTCTCACATACTTCTATCTGGTCCTAAGAGTTTAAACTGCGTTATTCTAATGGTAAACATTCTTTCAGGATGTGTTTAAGGCATATGACATCTGCCATGACATGTTTATCCCTTGTGTGGTGTTCAGGTCTGTGAACCCATTTTCAATGTTCACCAAAAGAAAAAAGGATGTGACTTATTATTATTTCATGCTCAGTTTTTTGTCCTTTGCTCATTTTCTGTGAAGAACATATAAAATAACCCATTTTCAGTGTCTTCACTCTGTTCACCCCCCACACATTTATACTACACATGTGGTGTTGGGTGAACCAGCTGGGAATAAAAGTGTGGAGGTGCTGTGTCCTTCACTCTGTTCTCCTCCTACATGGCCTGCTGTTAGTGTGTGTGTGTGTGTGTCTGTGTGTGTGAGGGTGGACAACATGGACAGGCTGCTGACCGGCTACAGCTGCTAAAGGAGAACCCTACACTGGACACTTGTGATATTTTAAACATCTGGTATTTTTACATAAATTGTTATGGCTGTATTGATTTAAAGATACCAATAATGCGGTGGGTCCACCAGACCACTGAGTAACAAACACATTAACACCACACAAGGGTTATGGCGTCATGATGTAAATGTTATGCAACAGGATTCAAGCTAAGTGTTACTAGAACATGTAGCTCAATCTACCAACCTGGTACTGGCATCCATTTGTATCAAAGCTGCTGGATAACCTGGCAAGTTCTTCTTGGTTTAATTCTTCACCACGTCTTAATCTTGAGATGCAGACTTCTCTCTGGAGTAGAACAGAAGTTTCCTTTCTCCTTCTCATAACAGATTTTCACAAAGTCTTACAGCATGTGCTGCATTCACTGCATTTTAGAAAACAAAGGTAAAGGATTTCCTCCTTAAGTTTTCACCTTCAATAGAGTAAGCACAGCAATACACAGTGTTAAAGTGAGTTAAAGCACAGTCACTGGTCCAGCGTGGCTAACTGAACTGTCTGCAGTATCCAGCCCACATAAAGACAGACCGAGTTGTTAAATAAATGTATTACCTTTTGCTTTTCTTTTCTGTTAAACTCTGTTTCTCCACCATCAAAATCAATTCATACACACAATAATATTCCTGCCACTTAGCGTTGCAGACGACAGATGATCGCACTTGAAACAGAGAAACCACACAGGAAACCGTCTGTGATGATAAACAACTAGAAGAGAGTCGTACAGCACGGTGAGGAGAGTGTATCTCACACAGCAGACTTTCTTTAGTCAATCTAGATGACTTAATCCAAACATTATGGTGGCTCAGCTGAAATCTCCCTTACGTCTTCTTATACTGGAGAAGACTGACTTTTGACATGAAGCAATAATTGGCTGAAAGATCAGATATACATAAATTTACCCCTAAACCCAAATATAGTCGATCAGTCAGGACAAAGTTTGCTTCTTTAGTTTTGCACTGAAGCTACGAGGCTAATATACCTAACCAAGAAGAACGTCTTGGTCTTGGTCTTCTTATGTGGGCTGGATACTGCAGACAGTTCAATTAGCCACGCTGGACTAGTAAGTGTGCAATCTGTCTTAACCTGAGCGGGTGCAGTGCCTGGGGGGGGGGGTGCAAGGAAAATCATACCCCCATTAGCACCCCCTGAAAAATGTTCCATTTGACTCTATTAAACCTATTTGTCGTTTAAAAAGCTTTCCAATATCTTGGTTAAAGAACTCTCAGGATTAGTGTAAGATCGTGTTGTATCAGTGCTGTGCTACCTGTGTTATCCACCTGGAAGTAAGGTCTTTGCTGTTGTGATGTAACGCTGATTTGTCCTGTGGTCAACGCTCAAAGTTATGAAATAACACTAATTTTAGCAGCATCGTATAAAGAAATTAGTTTATTATTCAAATTATTTAGTTACATGTTACATAATAAACACACCTTACACAATCAATACTAAAGCACGTAGACAAAAAAACAACAGCTACAGTATTAGAGAACAGAATGGAAAAGAACCCATCTACAGACTAAAATCACAAGGAAACCAAACAGCAATACATCATCCATAAAGCAGGAAAGCAGGTACAGCAGTATTAGCATTAACTGAGATTTGAAGGCTGACATGGCGAGGCAGGGTGTGATTCTGGAGCTGGTTTACATAAGAGACAGTGTTCAACAGAGTACATTACTTTAGGATTTCTTACCAATGTAGCAGTTTTCATTCATGAATCATAAGAATAAATGGCAAAAAGCGAAATAAATCAATAAATACATCAATTTAAAAACAGTGAGAAGTGCTGACAGGAACGTGGTTAGCTAGCATTAGTTTACAACATGTTAACTGTCATGACTATTCCACATTTAAGATTAAAGCTTCCTCCATATTTCTGTTATATCTCTAAAAAATGTATCTAAGCGGTATGATATGAAAGAAATGAAAATGGCCAGATTTTAAAAAAAGCTTTTAGCTAATTTGAACAAAGTGGTTAGCTATGTATTCTTTGCTAAGTTAGCAATTAGCTAGTAAAAAGTTACCTGTTTAAATAGTACATATATCTAAATAGTACATTATGGCTGAACAGTTTGAATGACTTTTTAAAATCGTTTGCAATCTTTTTAATACACTGCAGCCACTTTTTCATTTGTGACCTAATCATTTAGTTAATGCTAAAGGATTGCTGCAGAATGTCAAGATTGTCCTGGAACGTCTCTTTCCCTTCACACAGATGGTCATGGATCTTATCCCATGCCTCTAACTCTGAGCGCCACAGAGCTGATCTGGAGCGGATGAGCTGAGACGCTTCACTTTTTTTCCCTTTAGCCAGACTTAGACTTTCTTTACAGATAAATGCCAGATCTAGACCAATGAAGAGGGCGTTTAGAGTGATAAACCCGGCCCTGGCTGCTTTTGTCATTGCCAGAGGAGTGCCCTTAGCCAGCCGCCCGATGTCAGGCAGGTCTGCAGCAAGGCTGGGGATGTTCCGAGATGCTTTAGCTTCCTGAACGCCCACATTAGCTGCACTTTTGAGAGCTTTCACAGCTGAAGCTCCATCAACAATAGCATCAATACCTTTGCCTACTGTTCCAGCCCTGGCTGTCACTTTTACAGCTCCAAGTGCCACACCACTCTCATCCAGGTTTGGTAAAGGACACTGACTACCTGCCTTTTCTAGACAATCTTGGACTTTCTGCACGTCCTCCATGAATCTCTGGAAGATATTTTTGGCATTTCCTCCATGACGTTTGTTGACTGCCATTTCAGTGATGCCTGTGACTAAACTGTTGACCCCGCTGGTGACCCCCAGGCCAACTCCGGTGAGTGTGAGGGCCAGGGACACTCCTGCAGTAACGGGGGCAAGAGCCAGGCCTACGATGGACAAGACACCTCCAGCAATGCCCACTGAACTGCCAGCCACAGTGGAAATGCTGGACCCCTTCTTCATTTTATCCAGCTGGACGGCAGTCCCCTCTAGATCTGACAGGAACTGGAACATTTCAGATCGACATCCAGTGTATATATCAATGAATTCCTGAGCTTTTTCATTAAATAAGAATGACATCCTGAATGACTCGTCCATTCTGAAAGAAAGAGGTTACGTTTTAAATGCAAAACCATCCAACCGAATAAATACTTCACAAATCCTTACACTTCCCATTTCATGGGAAACCAAATTTTCCTCATTTTTTAAAGATAAAAATATCGTATTCATTCCTTACAGTGCATAAAGTCCATACATGCAAATTAAGTTGCAAAAATAGCTTGTTCTGCATTTGTTGTTTTTCTCATGACCCTACCTATTGATGTCCGCCTATTCAGCTTATAGCTGTTTGGTCCCACCTATTCACGCTGGAATTATAAGGAGTGTTTCAGTCAAGACTCCTTTTAAAATAGGGAAACCTCCAAACTGTGCTGGAGGGGTGCAGGGGTGCACAACTCTGGTCCTAGAGGGTGTCCAGCACAGTTTGGAGGTTTCCCCGTTCAAACACACCCACTTAACCTGGCAATTAACACATGATTGTAATCAGGTGTGGTGGAGCAGGTAAATCACCAAACTGTGCTGGACACCGGCTCTCCAGGACTGGAGTTGTGCACCCCTGGGCTATAGCCAATCAGAACAAAACCTATTTACATATATGGAACATTCTACAGAATTGGGTCAGAGTTTAAAACACATTTTGGACTTTTGACTGACTTTGATGTTAGACTAAACTCCTTTTGCTTTGAGTAATTATAGACCATAATTATGTTTTATACCACTTTTCCAAATGTTTCAGTAGTGATTATTTTGGGAGTGGCCATCTTAGCTAATTTTGAGTTGTATTCAAAAATGCTAGCCTGTACATGACTAGCAAACACAGGTTGTACAGTTGTACACACATAAAATCAAAATATTCATTAATATCATATAATTATCATATAATTTTCATTAATACAAAACAAGTTTACTTAATTGCAGAAAATATGTGTTTTGATAGTGACAGTTCTTAATGTTCCACACTGGTTTTCAGACTTCAAGACACATATTTACTTGCAAACAATGGGGTATAACTGCCTATCGTGTGGCTATGATGGACAGGGATGCAGTCCCAATTTAGTGGCAACTTTAAAAGAAATCAAAAATATATTAAACCTTGTTCAAAAAAGAAAAAGCATTATTTCCACAAGTGTAAATTCAGGGGTTTTGGACAGAAATGTATCCTATAAATGATGATTTTGTATATATTTAGTTTATTACCGTCTCATTTGATGCATTGGGTTTAAATAGATCTGAAACCTTGTAAATACAATAATAAAACAGAATACAAATGTAAGACATGGCCACTTAGAAATTTAAAAATGGGTAAAAGTTATAAACAATAAAAATGCTCTTACCTGATTTTGCTCAAGCGGTCTATCATGTTTTTCATGGACTCAATGTTTTTGAGATTGAATCTCAGTGAAGTGTTTCTGGTTTTCAACGTGTAAAAATCAGAAAGTATATACGGTTAAATATTGTTTAAAATAACAAACAGACAATGCAAAAAGAGTTACAGATTGATGACACTTACTCCTGTATGTCTTTTCCAATGTCTACTTCCAATGTGCTCTTGGACCTGTAGAGAAGAAAACATGAATATTTATCTAAATTTATCTAAATATGGAATAATCACAATACTCAAGAATACTGTATTATATAGTAACCATATGTATTACAACTGTATTAATCACATTATCTTGCAGAGCTCTTGTGTGATGTGGATATATTTGTCCAGCTGCATGGCCAGGACTTCCACGTTGCCCAGACAAGGCAAGAAGAAAGCTTTATCATCTCTCTTGAAGTGGATGAGGAGTGGGGACATGGCTCTGGCTGTTGTGACCACTGATCGTACAGCCTCAGTGGTCACACCCTTTAACAGGAAGATCTCATCTGTAAACACGAACAGTGAGGTGACTGCTAGCTTCTCCACTGCGTCCAGGAAGTGATGAAGTTTCTCCAGCCCCTCCAGAGTGTCCTTCAGAACTGCCCCCAGCTCTTTCTCCAGCTTCTGCTTTCTGAAACGGCCTAAGAATTTGTCTGCACGGCTTTTGATGTGCCTCATCTTCCTTAGCTCTGTCTCTCTGTAAAGCGTCCAGTGTTCTTCTGTGTCACAGAAGTCCTTCACTGTTTTGATGTAGCTGAGGGTCTCTAAGATGTACTTTTGCAGTTGTTCCTCTCTGTGCAAAAATAAAAGGGGAAATGAGGGGTAAAAGAAGGGAATTCTTTAAGCAGTCATATAAACTTTATATATTACAATATATTGCCTTTGAGTGATGGATACTTAAATGGCTCATATCACACAACACCTAATTTTCCACTGTTTTTAAAAAATAAAATATTTTGATGGAGTTCATAAACATTATGTTTAAAACTGTGGCATTCACTCAGAATCTAAGCTGCAAAAACAGTCCATTTTTGGGTGGAAAATGCCGTAATTGCATGTTTTATCTGTAGATGATGTATTTTCACTTAGAAAAACAACCAAATGGCATTTGACTCTGGTTGTTTCAACTTTTGCATGTGACTGTGTAAGGGCCCAGCCTGTGCTGCCGGCCGCCAGCAGAGGGCGATGGCGGCGAGGTGCCACAAGCACAGGGAACTCCAATTCCCAGAAGCCCCACGCCAAACTCACCTCAGGTGTTTGTTGCCAAAAAGCTCTATTTTGGTCTCATCTGACCACAGAATACAGGTCCCACTGACAGTTCCAGTACTTGAGAGCAGAGGCTTTGTTCTAGTAACACCCCCAAACAATTTGAGATTACATACAAGCCCCTTTTCCAAAAACACGCACACACACACATTTCCTAAGCTGCTTCTGGGTCGTGGGGGGAGCTGGAGCCTATCCCAGTGGTCACTGGGGGGGGGGCAGGATACACCGTGGACAGGTCGCCAGTCCATCGCAGGGCAGACAGACACACACAGAGGGGCAGTTTTGCATGTACAATTGGCCTGACTGCATGTCTTTGGAGTGTGGGAGGAAACCCACACAGACACAGGGAGAACATGCAAACTCCACACAGAAAGGACCCTGCTCGCCTGGCCAGGAATCAAATCCGGGCCCTTCGTGCTGTGAGGCGACACCGTGCCGCCCAGACAGAATACACTGATGTGTAAATAATTTAAGCCCTATTATTAATTGAAAATTGTACAAAGACACTGGAAACTGGAAAATTCGATTTGATGCCACCAATACTTCTCAAAAAAGTTGGGACAAGGGCAACTGGTAAAGTTGTGTAATGCTGGAAAACATCTGGAAGAACATCACACAACTAATTAGGTTAATTGGCAAAGGGTCAGTAACACAATTAGGTATAAAAAGAGCATCCCAGAAAGGCTGTTTCTTTTTTCAGAAGTAAAGATGGGGAGGGGTTCACCACTCTGTGAAAGACTGAGCAGGCAAATAATGCAACAATTCAAGAATAATATTTCTCAACGTAAAATAGCAAAGAACTCATTATCTATGGTACATAATATGATTGAAAGAGTCAGAGAATCTGGAGAACTCTCTGTATGCAAGGAACAAGGCTGAAAATCAATACTGTCTGGCCGTGATCTTCGGGCCCTCAGGTAGCACTGCATTAAAAACAGACACGATTCAGTAGTGGAAATCACCACAAGAGCTCAGTAACTCTTCAAAAAACGCTGTTTGTGAAAACAGTTCATCACTGCATCCAGAAATGCGAGTGAAAACTCTACTATGCAAAGAAGAAACCACATATAAACAACATTCAGAAATGCTGCCGCCTTCTCTGGGCCTGAGCTCATTTATGGTCTGAGGGGAAGTGGAAAAGTGTCCTGGGGTCCAACCAATCAAAATTTTTAATTCTTTTTTAAATCATGGATGTGTCCTCCAGGCCAAAGAGGAGAGGGGACATCCAGCTAGTTGTCAGCACACAGTTCAAAACCCAGCATCTGTGATGGTATGGGACTGCATTAGTTTACATCTGTGAAGGCACCATTAATGCTGAACACTGTATACAGGTTTTAGAGCAGCATGTGCTGCCATCCAGGTGACGTCTTTTTCAGGGAAGGCCTTGCCTATTTCAGCAAGACAATGCCAAACAACATTTTGCGCATGTTACAACAGCATAGCTCTGTATTAAAAGAGTCTGAGTGCTAAACTGACCTGCCTGCAGCCCAGACCTGTCACCACCAAAAAGTATGATAAAGAAGACCCCAAATTGTTGAGCAGCTGAAATCCTGTATCAAACAAGAACAGGAAAACATTTCACTTTCAAAACTACAGCAGTGTCTCCTCAGTTTCCAAACACTTACAGAGTGTTGTTAAAAGAAGAGGTGATGTACAGAAGTAAACATGCCCCCGTCCTGACTTTTTTGGAACATGTTGTTGGCATCAAATTCAAACTGGGCACACATTTTTTAAAATCAATAAAATTTCAACATTTGATATGTTGCCTTTGTACTACTTTCAATTAAATATAGGGTATAATGATTTTGCACATCACTGCATTTTGTTTTTATTTACATTTTGCACAGCGTCCCAGCCTTTTGGAAACGGGGTGTAGGAGGTGTCTGATTGTGGTTTGTTGACCCCAAGACCTAACTTCTGCAATTCCCCACTTGAACCATCCCCCTCACTGTGTAAGGGGTCAGTATAGACATATGTCCTCTTTCTGGCATCTCCAGTTGTTTTAAAGTTCTTAATTAGTGCCTTGATAGTGGAAATGGGCATTTCCAACTGTTTAACTATTTTCTTGTAGTCATTTCCTGATTTGTTCAGCTAAACAACCTTTTGTTGCACATCACTGCTGCTTCTGCTGGTCTTTGTCATAATAATGGAAGACTGAGGGAATTTGGCCTGTATTTCATTGCATATTTATACCCCAGTGAATCAGGAAGTCGAGGCTGACCTTTTAAGTGTTCCTAATCACTCAGGTAAACTTAAACATTTGTGCATAAAATTCCATGACACGATTTAGGTTTCATTATACCTTAAATAAAGTTTGGATTTTTTGCTAATTGTTTGAATACAAGATCAAAAGTCTAAATAACTAAAAATATTTTTTATAGCTCATTTTGCTGATGATTACCAGGGGTGCTAATATTTGTGGAGGGCACTGTATCAGCAGCTTCAATAAATTGGTAACAATTTGCCTTAATATGTACAAAAACATTTTACAAACATTAGAAAATTCTTGAAACTCATGTATTTCATGTGATGTGACTTTTTGTTCTATGTAAACATTATATTTAGCCATATAAAAAAATCATGCAAAGTACATTTTTGTCTCAGGCATCTTTGATAATACTTTATTGTTTACTGCTGTGTGCGAACATGAAATCATATATTGTACAGAGTTAGTTGATATATCACAGCAAAAACATTTGCACTGGGTTAGTGAGATGCAGCTGTCTACTCAGTGAAGGTTTCATTGTTTGAGAAATGTCTAGCTCCACTTCACCCAACTGAAACTGAGATTGTGATTGCTCCTGCTGAGTTTGACTCACTGTCTGCTCGAGTTTATAGGTCAGCAGTCTGTGCTGAGAGTGGAGAGAGTGGAGTTTTTCATGATGTTACTGTCTGGAATAACTGCTTGAAATAATGAATTAAAATAATTGCCTCTGTATTTAAACAGTGACATCATATGTCTAACAAAGAGTCACTTGGGATTCAGTCATGTGTGCACAGACCCCAACTGGACATAGAGTACAGTATCTGCACGTAAAAGCTATGCCGCCCATTTCAATTCTGGTTTTGAGAAGCCCTCGTCCACTTGGTTTTGTCAGTTCTTCTCGAGGTGATCCCCAGCAGCATCCTATAGACACTTGTAGTTGTATAAGACATTATTCCTTTGTCTACTCACCTGGCATCCATTTGATTTCCTCTGGATTTGAAATGACTGAAGAACAAAACAAGCAGTGTCATTACTTTCTTTGCATTTTCATTGCCACTGAATATCTAAATATGTGCATATATATATATATATATATATATATATATATATATATATATATATACACACACACACACACACAATGCATATATCGCTGCTGTCAAAACAAAACCTTGTATCTCTGAAATGGTAACTTTACAGGAGAAGGAACTTTACTTTACTTTCCATGTAAGTCAATGGAATCAGACTTTTTTCCAAGTCATCTTGGGCCGTTTCTTTTGGTCCATTCATCATGAAATTTATGTACAATATAAAGGGAAACAGGCATTTTCAGATTATGCAAAAACTGAAAAACTGGAGATAGAAGTTTCCGACAGCAGCCATAAATTTTAAATAATTTTAAATAAACTGTTAGTTTATGTCAGATTACTTACCTATACTTTGTAGAAAAAGTATGAACGAGTTCAGTCCTTTATGACAGTGAAGAGCAACAGTCCCCCACTGATTAAAAGGACAATGTAAATTTCACTCCCTTTCTTTCAATATCTGCATGCCACGCCCTTAGCCACGCTTACTGCAATGTAGCTTTACTCTGGATCTGCCCCTTCATTACTCATATCTGTTTTTTATTACATTTGTAGCAGATACTTACAGTACATAACTAGCCTAGTGTATTATGAGTGAAATATCTTGTTCATAGCTGAGTCTCTGAGCTTTGGTCTGAGTGACTCCTGGATTATTTGATGCTCTCAGAAGTTTAGACTTACTATGTGCATTACTATTTAAAATGCTACTACTTACACTGTAAACAATTGATTTTTCCCCACCAGTTAAAACTGTGATCCTAACAGCATACAAAAACCAGGCTGGCTGCAGCTTTATGATAATTAGATTCATCATAGTTTATCACAATTAAGAGTTTTAGCACTTTTACTGAAACTCTAAGTCTGCAGTTTGTGTTTACCCTCAGTCTAAAACTGTTAAAACCTGAAATTCCCAACACCCCTGCTAATAATAATAATAATAATAATATATCATAGAATAATATAATAACATTAATATAATTAAACATGTAATTAATGATATTATTAATCATATAAACATTATTATTATAGTGAATATTTATAATGATCAGTAACAGTAATCTAAAGTGAAATACATGGTAACTCACGTTAGGAAGGGAAATGCCTGAAGGTTGGCCATGTCACCTAGACCAAGACTCCAAGCAAGAACTCAGGGACGCTCGCTGAGAAACCAGTGCAGATGAACTGTGGAGCGTTATTATGCAAATCAAACAAAACTCAACTTTAAATAAGGGTGTC